TGAGGCCAAAACTCAAGTGGCATACCGGAGTGTGTTAGTAGGGCTAAACCAGTTTCGACTATGTGACGATGTTTACGTTCAGATATACCATTGTGTTCGGGAGTATGGGGTGGTGAAGTAAAGTGACTTATTCCGTTTTGACTTAGGAAATTTTGAAGAGCAATAAACTCGCTGCCATTATCAGAATAGAAGATTTTGACTTTTGTTTTGAAGTAATTTTCGACAAGTGATCAAAATTTAATAAATGTGTGGTGGACATCGGATTTGCATTTGAGGGGATAAATCCAAGGATACCGTGTAAAGTGATCAACAAAAACTACATAATATTTGAATTCATCATACGACAATATTGGAAAGGTCCATACATCAGAGAAAATAATTTCTAGAAAATAGTTTAAACAAAGACTGGAATTGTAAAATGGGAGCTTATGACTCTTATTTAATTGACAAGAGGTGCAATCAGATTGCTCGAACGTGGGGGAGCTAATCTGAAGTTGTTGTTGAATTAATTTAAATGTAGCAGTAGATGGATGACCTAAGGCATGGTGCCATAGTGGGCTAAAGGTGTGGGACGAAGACAGAACTGTAGGAGAGGAGGGCCACACGTACAAGCCGTCTCTGCAAGGCCCATTAAGAAGAATCCTGCCTGTTTTGAGACACTTAACATGAAAATAATGGGGTAAGAAAACAATAGCACAGTTCTGTTGATTTGAAAGTTGAGAAACAAAAATAATATTTTTAGTCATTTGTGGAACACAAAGAGTATCTGGTAAATTAAACAAAGATGCATAAGTGCTAAGTGAAAGAGTTCCAGAGTTATTGATTTGCAAACCTTCACCACTGCCCATGAATAGTTCGTTCGGGCCATTGTAGGGATAATGGAGGGAGAGTTGGTCGAGGTCATTGACAACATGGTGCGTTGCTCCACTGTCGACTATATAGTTTTGAGATGTGGATGCAGTATTGATAGTGTGAGCCTGAGGTGGGGGTGGAGGTGCAGGAGTTCTGGGCATTGTTGGAGGACGAGCATTTGGATGCTGTTGGCGGAAGAGAGGACAGTAGGCAACGACGTGACCCGTTTCACGACACCATTGACATTTACTAAGAAATGGTCGAGCTTGTGGCGGGGGAACCATGGGAGGAGGGCGGAAATGAGTGGAGGGTGAGCGGTTGGATGGCGGCGGCTGGTGTCTTTGCTGATTGGTGCATGGACGAGACTGTACGTTCAGGGCTGTTGCCGGTGCGGCCAAGTTGGTTGCTGCAGAGCGGAGTTCGAGCTCCTTGACAAGGAGTTTTTCGTGAAGATCGTCAATATGGATGGTAGTATCTCGGGCCTTGATCGCACCGACAATGGACTGATAGTTACCGTCGAGACCGTGGAGGACAAAGGAGACAAGTTCGTTAGCATCAACCGGTTTTCCGAGCAAAGCGAGCAGGTCTGCAGTCGAAGTGATCAATTGAATGTATTCAGTAATCGACATAAAGCCTTTTGTGGACGAGCGTAGCTTGGCTTTGAGTTGATTAAGGTGGCCCTTTGATGGGTTGGCGTAGGTGCGGGCGAGAATATCCCATGCTTCTTTAGAGGTGGTGGCTCGAGTGACTAACGGAGCGACAGAGGCGTCGAGGGTGCCGACCATAGCGCCATAAAGGAGTTTATCCTGACGCATCTAGGAAGTAAACGCCGGGTTTGGGGTGGTGACGTTGTCGGCAGTAAGAGTTGTAGGCGGAGCAGGGTGGTCGCCGTTGAGAAAGTTGAAAAGGTCATAACTTGTGAGAGTCGCCTGAATTTGCGACTTTCAAGTTATGTAGTTTGAAGTGGTAAGTTGTATGGTGTTGGTGAAGTGCACAATGACGAACGGGCGAGCGCCGTCGTTTGGGTTAATAATGGTTGTGGAAAACTCAGCAGCCATGGTATAAGATTTTGGAGAAGGGATAGGTTTCCAAGATCAGCGGCTGATACCATATAGGTTGAGAATATATTGTAGAAGAAGTTATTTCTTTCATTAAGTTGAGATTTCCTACTTATACACAGTAAATATGACGGTTTCAGAGATTTGCTAAAATCTCTCCATAAAGCCCACTAACATAACTTACAGGTCACATATTCAGCATAAAATAAGGAACAACATTGACTGAGTTTATTTAAATAAATAACATTAAATGAAAAGGCTAAATAAGATTAATTTGATTCTCTAACACATCTAACCCTTGTGGATTACTAATCTTAGAAATCAAAGCAATGAAGGATGATAGAATAGCCTTAGGGAGAACAGCAGTCTCGTGAAACTCCTGAATGCAATCAACCACATCCTTACCAATAACATTTCAACGTCGTTTTAAGAATTCCAAGTTAAACTCGACAAGGCCTGGGCTTGTGGTACCATCACAGTGACATATAGCTTTAAATATTTATTCCTCATTGAACTCTTCGTGAAGCATTTCGCGATCCGCCAAAGTCAGTTTAAGACAGCCCCTTAGGTTAAGCATTGGCCTTATGCAATCAGGCTTACTGTAAAGGGCATCAAATATACATAATCAGGTTGATTAACCACCTTAATTGGCATGCACGGGTAAAAGGTTTTACATTACCGGTATATTACAACCATTTCTAGAAGATACTTTAAATGTGATTAAAAAACATCAAATATACATAAAAATTTAGCGTAAATGTAACTACTATAAGTCTATTGGATTTCATGCAATAAGTTTTGTTATTTGAGGGGTTTGGGCTGTTGTTGCAGTGTAATTGTTTTACTACTATAGGATGTTGTTCTATTATTCGTAAAACATTGGGATGGAATTCCCGTTAGATCTTTTTTTAATATATTGTGATTATAAAAAAATGATAAAAATTCTTTACACTCTAGATGCATATGAGTTGAATTTATAATTAAAATATTTAGGCAAAACTATTGTTTTCGTCTTTTAAGTTGTTTTAAAATATCAAATTAGTCCCTTAAGTTTTTTTTTTGTAACGCTTTGCTTTCTTTTTAAAAATCTCCGTTACAATAAATTGCAAACGCATATACCATTTGAACTGATTTTCGCGCTGACCACGAATATGCAATCAAATTTATCAAACAAGTTATGGTTCATGAGAATCAGGTAAAAATAAACGAAATACATAATGAAAAATCAACAATTCAACTAAAATACACAATTAAACGCAACTAATTACATATTCATGATCAGCGCGAAAAACCAGTTCAAACGATATATGAATTTGTAATTTATTATAACAGAAATTTTTACAAAAAAAAACCAAAGCGTTACAAAAAAAACTTAAGGGACTAACTTGATATTTTAAAATAATTTAAAAAACCTATACAATAGTTTTGCCAAATATTTATTATATCTAGAAAAAAAATGATATGCATTAATACGGTATAAAATAATTTTATAGTCTGAATAAATTATTGTTATGTATTTTATCAAATTACAAACATTAATATTTTTAAATTAATTGTGTAACATATTAGAATAATAAATCTATATCAGATGATAGGTAAGACTATTTTAAGTTGTGAGGTTACTTACTACCTTTAATCTCTTATATTTAAATAGAAATTCTTATTTATCTATATACAAAAAAGTAGTATAGAGTTAAATCAAAATTTACCGTCAACCATCTTCCCCCAATCACCACTCATAAACAGACCCCGCCTTCCCAAAAACTCATTGACATAAGATAGATAATCCATCACTTTGTTTATTGCTCATTGGATCCTCGGAAATGTATTTGGATAAATTGCCAAAAGTTTTGTCTTCATGTTTAACAAAAACCAACAAAGATGCGGAAAAATAGATAATCCATTTTCTGTCGCTAAACATCCTTCCTAAATGGATACAGCTGTTGCTAAAGTTATCACTACACAATATATTGTATTAAATTAAATGAAATCGTTTAGTATTTATTGGAGGAAAAATTTTTATGGTCCCTCAAGAAAATTTGATGCGCTGCACCGAATATATAGTTGCAATAAATTAATTTTGATTGGGATACGTTTTTACGATGAGCCACTAAGACCAACTCCAACGGTGGTTTTTCAAATTGGTTTGCCAGCTTGGCATTGAAAATGTCAACAAAATGTTATTCCAGCTGTAGAACGTTACAAACATAAGCAACGGTTCTTCATTTGGTTTATTATTAAAATAATCATTTAGCTTTATTTTATTTTTTTAACTTTTTTATTTATTATAAATATAGGTTTGTTGGAAAAAATTTATATCATTCCTATTTTCTCTCCTTTTTATTCCTATTTTCTCTCCTTTTTATTTGCTCTTTAATTTTAAATTTCTCTCTCACAATTTCATCATTTTATTCGTAAATATTTAATTTTTTTCCAACAATTTCTTCTCATTATCATTTTATTTCAAATTTTCATCTTTTTATTTCAAATTACATTTGTTTAGGCCAAATTTTCATCTTTTTATTTCAAATTACATTTGTTTATGTGATGTTATTTATTTTTATTGTTTTTAATTATGTGATGTTATTTATTTTTATTGTTTTTAATTATGTGACATGTATTTAAATTTAATTTTAATTATTATTTTCAATTTTATGTTTAATTTTAATTTTATGTTTAATTTGTATTTATATTAATTAAAATTTAAATATTTAAATTATAATTTTAAATAAAATAAATTTAATATAAATAATATATTTTAAATAAAGTGGTGGGACCCAATATGGGTTCTTTGAAGTTGCACCATTGGAGTGAAAATTGAATGAGTTGCTTTAAAAGAGTGGATCCCACAAAGAACCCAAAAATGGGTTGCACCATTGGAGGTGCTCTAATAGTGACACATGCATGCCTCTTAGAGATGGGGTCCGTACAATCTCATCCATGGCTTTTTTTAGCAAAAAGTAGTTAGGTGTTAATAGTGTTATGTAATTCACGAGCATATATATATTTTGTTATACTATAGTAAAGCAAATGACAAGCATATATAGAATTCATATACATTGCTTAGAATATTGCAAACAGAAAAACAATATGGTGAACATGGTAACAGTTGCTTTGTCATTGGTTAGTTGGACAACGAAGAAGGCTGGTTTTATGGAGCCTTGCACAGTGGAGATAGAGGCAGGTACAGTTATGAGATTCTGGGTTCCATCTCATTCTCAAACCATTTCAAAATCCACCAAACCAGCCATTGTTTTCCTCCACGCCTTCTGCGCCGACGGACTTGCGAACTGGATGTTCCAAATCATCAGCTTATCCAAAAACTATGCTGTTTACGTGCCCGACTTTATTTTCTTCGGTGGCTCCACGACAGATAAGCCCGATCGGTCACCGAGTTTTCAAGCCGAGTGTTTGGCGAAGGGGTTAAAGAAACTGGGAGTGGAGAAATGTGCAGTTGTTGGAGTCAGTTATGGTGGAATGGTGGCATTTAAAATGGCTGAGTTGTACAGCGAGCTGGTTCAAGCAGTGGTTATATCTAGCTCAGTTTTGGCTATAGAAGAGTGTATGGTAAGTAGAGCAGTGGAAGATGTTGGATTTTCTTCTTGTTCCGAAATGTTATTACCATCTTCTAATGAAGGATTGAGAACACTTCTTTCAATTGGTGTGTACAGAAACATTCAGTTTCCCAACTGTATGCTCAGTGACTTTCTTCAGGTTTGCATTCTACATTTAGCATTATGTTTCATAGACATTCTAGAAAAAAACATAAATCCATTTGACTATCTATCATCAACCACGACATGGTGAGTGTTAATTGGGTTTATATATTTGAAATAACTTGCATTACAAGGTAATGAAATACAAATTAAACAGAGATTAACAACTACCCTATAAATCCAATTAAAAGACAAATTAAATTTAAAATAAATTTGAATTTCTCTCTCTTCTTATTGGATGTGTCTAAGAATATTGATATATGTATGTTTCTATGTAAGAATTTCTCACTCCTTCTAATAAATTACATCTATAAAACTCCTCCCAATTCTCATCAGTTAGTTTTCTCATTCCTATGATCTCGTTTACGCACTCAAATCTATCTATATCTCTTCAATGACTTGTGTTAAGAAATGTGGTTGGGCTAACTCAACCCTACAAAATCGGTTGGTAGAGTGAGGATTGCCTCCACTTATAAACACATGTTCATGCCATATATTGTCCGATGTGGGACTCTTAACACACCCCTTCACGCTCAGGACTGGACATCTGAAACGTGGAAATAAATGGTGGGTGGCCCGATAGCGGAAACCATAGAAGGTGGCCCACCGGATCTTAAACGAGGCTCTTGATATCATGTTAAAAAATTGTGGTTGGGCCTAACTCAATCCTACAAAACCGGCTCGTAGAGTGAGGATTGCCCCCACTTATAAACACATGTTCATGCCATATATTGTCCAATGTGGGACACATGTTAAGAAGTGTGGTTGGGCCTAACTCAACCCTACAAAACCGGCTCGTAGAGTGAGGATTGCCCCCACTTATAAACACATGTTCATGCCATATATTGTCCAATGTGGGACTCTTAACATATAGCATATAGACATGTGTCATATTAGTTGAGAAGGAAGCTTGATGACAAGTCGAATCAGATGATCTTGATAGAATATCATTCTACTAGAAGTTACAAGCTATTCGACCCAGTGAATAAACAGGTAGTGATCATCAGGGACGTGATCATAGATGAGCTTAAAGAATGAGATTACTGAGAATGTCAAGAAGGATTCAGTGAGAATCTCTTGTGAAGAACTAGCCACTGAAGTTAAAACAAAAGTTCGACAGGAATGTGCCAAAGATGAAGCAAGCCCAAGTAGACCTCGACGAACAAAACACATTCTTACAAAGTTGCAAGAATGTGTGATTACATCAGATGATGTGGTCGGTGAAGAGGGTGAGCTGGTACATTATACTTTCTACGCAGACATTGAACCTGTCAATGCAGTTGAGACCAGATTGCAATTGTCGAAGGATTCAGATGAAGATAATGTCGATCTAACCCAATATAGAAGATTTATTTGGTCACTTCAATACCTTTGTCACACAAGGTCTGACTTAGCATACAGTGCGGGTATGATAAATAGATTTATGAAGAAGCCAAAGGTATCACACCTAGCAGCGGCGAAGAGGATACTGAGATATCTGAAAGGGACTCTCGACTATGGCATTTTGTTTCCTGCAGATGATGAAGAAAAAGAATGCAAGTTAGTGGGATACACCGACTCTAGTTGGTGTAATGGTGTTGAGAATAGAAAATCAACAGCTGGCTATGTGTTTATGCTAGGTGGTGCACCAGTTGCTTGGAGTTCGAGAAAGGAGCCACTAGTGGAATTGTCATCATGCGAAGCAGAATATATAGATGTTTCTCTTTGTGCATGTCAAGCAACCTGGATGGTGAACCTGGTCGAAGAGATCACAACGAAGAGTCATGGAGCAATTACCATGAAGATCGACAGCATGTCAGCTATCAACTTGGCGAAGAATCCAATAACACACGGTCGAAGCAAGCACATCGAAATGAGGTTCCATTATCTTCGAGAGCAGGTAGTAGAAGGGAAGATGAATGGAACACTGCAGAACTGAGAATCAGATTGCAGACATCATGACGAAGGGAGTGTCAGTCGAAGTGTTCAAGAAGTTAAGGTCTATGATGAATGTAGATAGTTTAGACACAATGAATTAGGTGGTGTGTTAAATATGTAATTCATTGTTTTAGAAAGATTTGATTTGATTTAGAAAGATCATATTTGATTTAGAAGGATTAGATTAGATATTTTTAAGCTTTTATAGTTTGGGCTTTGCCTTGGAGTGCAAGCTAACCTAAATCTATAAATAGGGGAAATTCTTATTTTGTAAACATCTCATCTTATCATATTTTGTAATTCACAGTTTGCAGTTGCAAGTGAAATAACAGAATTTCCACAGTTTGTGGGCAGAGAGTTCTCTGCAGAAAATTGTTCATCTTCTTCTTCTCCAACGTTTAGTTTTTTTCTTTATTTCTAAACTTTTCTTTCATTGTCATTACATAAGTTGAAACAATTTTAAAATTAAGATTGATTGAGTGAAATTCTTCATAAGTTGTGGTTGAATTTTCAACAATTTTTAACATATACTTAAATAGTAAAAATGTAAATTAAGCATCAATTGTAATATCAAAGTTTTACTCAAGTGTCAAAAGATATTAAATAATAATATGATAATAAAAAAAATGTAAAGTAACTTCCCATATATTAGAAGACTTTAATTTTGGTGGCAGAAGATTTTTTGTAACAAAATATAAGTTAATTTAAATTGATTAATTATAATTGTTTAATTTTACTATCATATTATTATTTAATTTGTTTAATAATAAAATTAATTAATATAAACAAATAAATTTAAATAAGTTTTATTATCTTATTATAATTTTATAAATAAATATAGTTAAATCATATTTTTTACTTTTTATTTTATTATTTAATGTATATTTTATTAATATTAAAGTAAAATAAAATAAAATAAAAATAAAAAAGAAATCAGAAGGACCGATTTTCATTGGGCGGGGTTGTTTGTAGCATATAGAAGGAGCCCCCCATTACTTCACATGATCCACTAGAAATTTAATTTTTCTTTTTTTTTAAAATGTAGTAATTCGGTATATACGGAAGAAAAAAAATATGGTATTTTAGAAATTTATATCAATTTATAAAAAGTAAGAATTAACAAAATAGAGATATACCTAAAAATAAAGTTAAAATCAAATTAATATATGGGTATTGTTAAAATAAATTTTGTCATACACATAAAATATATATCATATTTTTATTTAGCTTGTTTAGGATTAGTTTATTTTAAGTTTTAAAAAATAGATTTTTTTTTGAAAATTGATTCTATAAAAATATTTTTTTTAATTTATTTTTTATAAATTAAAATACTAATTTTAACATATTATTACATAAACATACATTATTGAAAATCAAAACATAATCACAATCACAATTTTTTCAAAAAATTATATTTTAAAAATAATTTTTATGAAAATTTATTTGAAGTAACTCAAAATTAAATAATTTTTTAAAGTTTTGATATTCAAATTTTTTTTATAAAATAATAAAATACTTAAAATAACATTTTAAAAATAATTATTCAAATCAATTTTTATTTAAAAATTTCTTTGTAAATTTTTTTACATTAAAATATATTTCACTATAAAATACTTTTAAAAAAACTAAAACAAAATGGCTCTTAATCTATACAATAGAATTATTTATTTAATCAAAATCATTTTGCAGGTTATGTTCTCGAATAGAAATGAACGAAGTGAGTTATTAGAAGCTTTAGTCAACAGCTACAAAGACATCCACATTCCAAAATTTTCCCAGGTAAATTATTTTCATAATTTAGATTTTAACACTCTTTTTATGAGAAATACTAAAACTCCTGTCATGTACCATATTTTCTACTTCTTCCAAACCTAAATTTTTACTATATAAACTAATAATATTCACACAATTTCTCTTTGCAGCCAATACATCTTTTATGGGGTGAGAAAGATAAAATTTTCAAACCGGAGATTGCACACAAAATCAAAGAGTAAGGAATCTTGATCACATAATTATAATTATTTGTCTCAAACCATTCTCAAGGTTAATCAAGTTTCTTAAACTTTATCGTCATCAAGTAATTATTAGTACTTACAAATATGACAGGAGGCTTGGAAATAACACAACATTTGAAGTAATAAAGAAAGCTGGTCACTTAGTGAATCTGGAGCGACCATGTATTTACAATAAGTGTCTAAAGAAGTTTCTTTCTTCTGTTATGATTGATGGAAAAAAATAATCCAATTCACATGTATGAATATTTCAAGAGTGTGTTTCAGAAGTGCTTATTAAATAAGTTATTAATGTGCAATTGTATCTGAACATATGTGATTTTCCATTAATATCTATTTAAAAGAGAGTTGAATTTCTTCCAATGTTCTTCCTTTTGTCTCAGGAACCCAAACCGCTGCAAAAACAACAGTAAAAGCAGCTACCACTGTGTACATTAAGAATGTTCCTGTCGAAAACAAAACATTAGTATTACACTAACACCATATACACAAGAACATGCATGAATTAATGTAATTGAACAAAAATATTACACAATTACATACCTCCACTACTCCAAGTTAAAAGCAAGTTTGCAGTCATTGTGATTATCCATGAAGTTAACCAATTTGTTAATGTCGCTATGCTTCCAGCAAGACCCTTTATATTCACCGGAAGTATCTAAAAAACTAGATTCATGAGTTAGATGTTCCTTATGTTTAAAAAAACATCAATTACTTAAGCTTTTTGAGGTACCTCAGACATGATAAGCCAAGGAATCGGTCCAATTCCAAGAGAGTATCCAATCACCATAGTCTAAAAAAATTGTTTATCAAATTGTTAAGTACTTAAATTCTTGAATTCGCAAATGTTCGAAAAAATTAGTCCAACATAACATACCACAATCCCGACAACAGAAAGTATTCCCAGAAAACTGTATATAGGAGAATCCTTCTCTGTGATTCCCTAGTATATACAGTACAATGAACTAGTTAATATTAATATAGTAAATGTTATGACTATTGAATTAAGCTTGAAAAATTAAGTAACTTTAACTAACCTGGAGATAGAATGCTATAGAAACAAGAAAAAGGCTCAATGTCATTATAGATGAGGATATCTGCATAAGTGATAAATAACATATTTTAGATTACTTTTTTTTTATGAAAATTTGCATTGTGGATTTTGCATAATGCTTACTATTAGAAGTAGTCTTCTTCCACTTTTGTCCACCAACCAAGTAGTGATTCCTGTAACTATGACCTATAGAAGAAAATATTTGATTATGAGAATCTAATTTTTTCTATTTTTGATTTTTTTTTAAGAAAGAATGTGGATAATATCCAACCTGAATAACACCGAGTCCAACTGTAGCAACATTGCTAGATGAAACTCCTGTTACAAATGAGAAGTCAAGACCAAAACGGCATCAGTATCTTATGATACAAGTAACACGTATACTAAGATACCGATTATCACGCAACAAATAACAACAGATAAGTATGATCTATGAATAACCTGCGTTTAGAAAGATTGTACTTGAATAAAACAACACTCCATTGGTTCCACTCAATTGCTGGAGTACAAGTAATCCAATACCTACCTGTAATATCTCAGTCAAAAGTAGTTTTTTTTATCTTTTTCTGATTTTCTGCCATGTAAAATGTGCAACCTTAATACATCATTTGATCCAATTTTGTATAGCTTACCATTAAAGGAAACCAGTATTTTTTCATCTTAAGATCTGCAAACCGGATTGTAACACCTTTTCCTATTGATTCAACCGAGCTCTACACGCAAACTAAAATGTCAAAAAATATGAATAATTAGTGCATATGACATGAGCACATGACTTGTATGATACCTTAATTTCATGTACTTCAAGTGATATATCAGTATTAAAACCTCGTAACACTTGCAAAGAAGCCTCAAATTCTTCCGTCATTCTCATCTTCGCCTAATTTTCGGCCAACCCAAGAAGAGATTAAAAACACTAATCACATAAAGAAAGAAAAATAAACAAATTATTTAGTATAATAATGCAGAAAAAGTGAACCATACCAACCATCTTGGTGATTCTGGTATGAAAAATAATCCTGGTATTAATATTAAACACGGCAAAGTCCCTGAAAATGAAACATCACACATGTTTATGTTATTACTTGATTGCAGAAAATAAGTAATGCTATAATCAGTGGAAATTTTATTACCTAGAACTGCAAGTACTCTCCAGTTAACAAAAAGGCCTAACAAATAAGCCAACAACACTCCAATTGTGATAGATAGCTGGTTAACTGATCCAAGTGTACCTCTCATATTTTGAGGTGAAATCTCAGCTATATAAACAGGCACCTAAACAGAAGAAAAAACATAATCAACTAAACTATCCTCAATATAATTTATCATCAAACAATATCGAGTTTAAGATTACCGACCACATAAGAAATTATTCCAACGCCAAAACCTTCCAAAAACCTCCCCATAAACAAAAACGCCGAGTCCTATATAAACTAAGAAAAATATTACATGTGCATTGAAAACAATATTTAGTTGTCCGTAAGGTCTGTTGAACTGATAATACCAATATTATTAGGTTGAACGTCATCATTCAGGTTTAAATTCAGAATCTCACGGTTGTGTGTAAGTTTTATACGTCAAAAAATTCTAAAGCTTACTTTGGCAAAGGAGATGGCCAACCATCCTACTATGTTGGGGATTGCAGCAATCATCAATGACTGCATTTTCATGTTTATCAACATAGCAACAAAAATTATCAACTTAATAGAAAAAAAAACAGTACTAATATTACATTAAATTTGAAAATGATAGAATGCAATATACAAGAATAGAAAAGTTACTAAAATACCCCTTTGCGTCCTATGTATTCTGCCATTTGACCACTAGCAATGGCTCCCACCATGGCTCCCACATTTGATAAAGATCCGAAAAGAGAAAACTGAGCCCAACACAATATATTATAACTATATAAACAGATAAAACTCTTCCTTCCAAGAAAAGAACCAACAAAAAAACTAAGTCAATGAAAACCTCGGAAAGTGAGAGCTTTAGATCACTGATTATACTCTCTTGTGTTGGAGAAGTGTAACCACACTACACAGAAACAAATAATATAGTTAGTTTGTTTTTGATGAGTTCATTCATTGTCAATACATACATACACTAATCCAAAGTACGCACTGTGAAGCCGAATTGAAGAGGGCCTAATGCGACAATGAGGACACAGAAGAGAACAGAAACAGATGAATCTCGTAGGACATATTGAGTTGAAGAGTTCAAGATGTTGGATTGTTTTGATCCCATTTTGTACCAGCTACCAGTGTATAGGAACGGTTTCTTAAGGTTGTTTCCATCTTCACAATCTTCCCTGCCCAAGCTCATTGCAACTTCAAAGTTGAAGTAAGTGTCTTTGTTGTGACTTGTGAAGTTGTTGAAACAATGAGATTCCTTGATTCTTTCTGTGATGGATAAGCTAAAAGACAAAGCAAGAGTTTGGCAGATTTGTCGTTTGGACTAATACAAGATAGGAACCACTATGAGATGTTAATTAGTTTTATAAAGACAACATGGATTATGTTATGTTGGTTGGTTGGTTTTGCTATTTTTGAATATATTATAGTAATATACGATTGAAATTGTAATTTCTTGTGTTGAAGTAGTGTAGTTCGACAGAAATAAGAATTAGTCAAATTAGTCTAATATATGTGTCGAGTTGTTCAGATGTCGAATTGTCGAAGTAGGTTGCTTGACACATAATCTCGACTTAGACTGAAATAGTAATTTTGGGTTTTTGTAATTTTACGCTTTCTCAATTATAAATAGACGGAGTAACTCTTATTTTTGTAATAACCTGTATACATAGATTTTTTGCAGTTGTAAAATGAATAAAGAAGTTTTCACAGTGAAAATTCCTCAGTTGAAAATCATTCTCTTATTCCTTTGATTTTGTTAAACTTATTCTTTCTTACTCGGTTTCTTTTCATTAACAGTTGTTGCGCATAATCTTTTTTGAGATCAAGATTGATTAGGAATTCTCAAAAAGATTTGGGTTAATTCCAACATCTGGTATCTAGAGCTCCAGTTGTGATTCAAGGGGAGAAAATAACGATGGCGTTGAACCATCCAAATGGACATTTTCCAATGAACCTTCCAATTCTCAAGAACAATAATTATGAGAATTTGTGCAAGCAGATAAAGGTAGTTTTTTGTTATCAAGATCTTTGGGATCTTGTGAAGTAAGGAGTAACAGCACTTGCAGAAAACGTGTCAGATCAAGAAAAAGGTTGCATACAAAGAATTGAAGAAGAAAGATTATAAAGCTTTCTTTATAATTCTTCAATGTGTTGATCCAAATAACTTTGAAAAGGTTAGTAATGTAGAATCAGCAAAAGAAACATGAAAAATCTTAGAGAAATCGTTTGGAGGCGCAGAGAAGGTGAAAGAGGTGAGGTTACAAACTCACAAAAGGACGTATGAATTGCTTCGGATGGAAGAAAGTGAGAGCATAACTGATTTCTTCACTAGGGTTACTAAATTGGTGAATCAAATCAAGGTATGTGGAGAAGTGTTGACATCAAGATCAGTTGTTAGAAAGATCTTGAGGTCATTGGCTCCAAAGTTCAACTACGTGGTAGTATTCATGGAAGAGTCGAAAGACTTGTCAACATTGACAAAGGAAGAGCTTCAAGGATCGCTTGAGTCTCATGAACAAAGGATGGCTGAAAGAGTTGCATTCGAAGAGTGATATGGCTTTGCAGACGTAGTTAGAAAAAGAAAAGAAGGGTAAAGGAAGTTGGAATGACAACAAAGTCAGAGGAGGCTACAACAATTCGATTGGTCGAAATCAGCAGGAAGGAAACTGGTCGAATCGATCAGAGAAAACTCTGGAACCAAGGAAACCAAAGAGGTGGTACTGCAGGTAGAGGAAAAGGTGGTGGCCGAGAACCTGACAAAAATCACAATCGGTGTTACAATTGTCAGAAGTATGATCACTATTTTAGTGATTGTCCAGAAAAAAAGAAGAATCAAGAAACTGATGCAAAGCTGGCGAAACATAAAGAAGAAGAGATGTTACAGATGGTCACAACAAGAGATGAAGAAAGATTCCAAGACCAATGGTACTTGGACTCAGGATGCTCATCACACATGAGTGGTAGGAAAAATTGGTTTGTTAACATAAAGCCCTCAATGAAGAACATGGTGAAATTTAGAAATGACAATACTCTAGCAGTTGAAGGTATTAGTGATGTTCTGGTTATGAGGAAAGATGGCAAGAGGTCAGTAATTTTCAATGTGTTGTACATACCAGACATGAAGAGCAATTTGCTCAGCATATGGCAGTTGGTCGAAAAGAACTACAAGGTGTTAATCAAAGACAAGATGATGGGAGTTCTCGACTCAGGTGGTAGGTTAATCTTAAAGGCTCCAATTTCTCACAATAGAACCTTCAAAATTGAACTTAATGTGATGGAGCATAAGTGCCTTACAACTGCAGTCAGCAGAGATGAATGGATATGGCACTATCGACTTAGTTATCACAACTTCAAAGACATCAGAGATTTGAAGAGAAGAAATATAGTTTCAAGATTACCAGAAATTGACATTCCAAGAAAAGTGTGTGAAGAATATATTCAGGCGAAACAACACAAGAATAGTTTCAACAAGGATGTAGGAAGCAAGTCGAAGGCAATTATCAAATTCATATACTCTGATGTATGTGGTCCTATCCAAGTGGGCTCGATTGGAGGTAACATATACTATGTCATGGTCATAGATGATTTTAGTTGAAATTTATGGACTTATCTGATCAAGAAGAAAAGTGAAGTGATCGAGGTATTTTACAAATTTAAATCTATGGTCGAAAGTTAAAGATTTTAAGGACTAGTGGTGGTGGAAATATATGTGTCGAAAGATTTTAATGCATTATATGAGAAAGAAGGGATTGTGCATGAGGTGGTGCCACCCTACACTCCACAACAGAATGGAACTGTAGAAAGGAATACTAGAACCATCATGAATATGGTGAGAAGTATGTTGAAAGGCAAGCATCTACCCCAAAGAATTATGGGGAGAAGCTGTGTCGACATCAACATACATCTTGAATAGATGTCCGATGAAAAAGTTAGAAGGAATCACGTCAGAAGAATGGCGGTCTAGTGTCAAGCCTAGCCTTAGTCATTTGAAAGTGTTTGGATATATAGCACATAGACATGTGTCATATCAATTGAGAAGAAAGCTTGATGATAAGTTGAGTCAAATGATCCTAATAGGATATCATTCGATTGGAGGGTACAAGTTATTCGATCCAGGAAACAGGCAAGTAGTGATCAGTAGGGACGTGATTATATATGAGCTTAACGAATGGGATTAGACTGAGAATGTTAAGAAGGATTCAGTGAGAATCTTATGTGAAGAACCAGCTAGTGAAGTCGAAAGAGAAGTTTGACAAGAAGAAGTCAGAGGTGAAGCACGCCCAAGCAGACCTCGACGAACAAGACACATCCCTACAAGGTTGCAATAATATGTGATTACATCAGATGATATGATCAATAAAAAAGGTGAGTTGGTACACTATGTTTTCTATGCAGATGTTGAAGCAGTGAATGCAGCTGAGGCATTGAAAGATTCAAAGTGGGTGAAAGCAATGAATATGAAGTTAGAGTCCATCGAAGTCAACAACACTTGGTCACTTGTCAAAATGCCTCAAGGCAAGAAGGAAATTGATGTGAAGTGGGTTTACAAGGTGAAGGTGAATCCTAAAGGAGAAGTAATTCAACATAAGGTGAGACTTGTGGCGAAAGGATTTCTTCAGAAATAAGGAGTCGACTTTGATGAAGTTTTTGCACATGTTGCTAGGATCGAAACAATCAGGTTGGTTGTTGATCTAGCAAACATGAAAAATTGGCACATATGTCAGATGGATGTGAAATGTGCATTTCTGGATGGCCTCTTAGACGAAGAAGTTTATGTTACACAACCAGCTGGGTTTGTGAAACAAGACGAAGAAACAAAGTTGTACAGGCTGCATAAAGCCTTGTATGGACTTAAGCAAGCTTCAAGAGCTTGGAATAAGAAGATAGATAGCTTACTAAGGGATAAGGAATTTGGGAAGTTCACGACTGAGCATGGAGTATATGTAAGGAGAAGCGATAATGAATTGCTTATACTATGTCTCTATGTCGATGACCCGTTGATAACAGGAAGTTGTAAGAAGGAGATCAAAGATTTCAAACATGACCTAAGTAAGGAGTTTGAAATGTCAGACTTGGACAATCTCTTATATTTCTTTGGCATAGAATTCTACAAAGGTGGTAGAGGTTTGATGATGCACAAAAGAAGATATTCAGCCGAAATACTCAAGAGATTTGAGATGCAAGATTGCTGCCCAACTTCGACTCTAGCTGAGCCCGGAATGCAACTGTCGAAAGATTCAGATGAAGATAATGTCGACCCAACCCAATATAGATTACTTATCGGGCCCCTTCGATAACTTTGTCATACAGGGTCTGACTTAGCATACAATGTGAGTATGGTAAGTAGATTCATGCAGAAGGCAAAGGTATCACGCCTAAAAGCGGAGAAGCGGATACTAAAGTATCTAAAAGGAACACTCGACTACGGAATTTTGTTTCCTACAGCTGATGAAGGAAAATAATGTAAGTTTGTAGGATACACTGACTCAAGTTTGTGTAGTGATGTTGAGGATAGAAAACCCACAACTGGCTATGTGTTTATCCTAGGTGGTGCACCAGTTTCTTGGAGTTTGAGAAAGGAGCCAGTAGTGGCATTGTCATAATGCGAAGCAGAATAAATAGCAGTTTCTCTTTGTGCGTGTCAAGAAAAGTGGATGGTGAACCTAGTCAAAGAGATTTCAGCGAAGAGTCATGGAGCAATTACTATGAAGATCGACAACATGTCAGCTATCAATCTGGAGAAAAATCCAATAGCACATGGACGAAGCAAGCACACCGAAATGAGGTTCCATTATCTTCGAGAGCATGTAGCATAAAGGAATATGAACTTGGAATATTGCAGAACTGAGAATCAGATTGCAGATATCATGACGAAAAGAGTGCAAGTCGAAGTGTTCAAGAAGCTAAGGTCTATGATGAATATATATATATATATATATATATATATATATATATATATATATATATATATATATATATATATATATATATATATATATATATATATATATATATATATATATATATATATATATATATATATATATATATATATATATATATATATATATATATATATATATAGAGAGAGAGAGAGAGAGAGAGAGAGAGAGAGCTTAGACACAATGAATTAGGTGGTGTGTTAAGATTGCAATTTCTTGTGTCAAAGCAGTGTAGCTCGACATAAAC